CCTGTCTCTCCCCACTTCGTCTTGGCCTCTTATGTATTTCTTCTCCCCTTATTCCCTCGTGGTTATCGTTCTATTTCTTTTCTCGCTCTCTTATTTTCCCCTTCCTCTTCCCCTTTCCCTGCCTCTCCTTGTCCCTCTCCCCTTCCTTCCTTTCTCCCTCCCTCTCCCTTTCCCTTTGTTACGAAAGCAACTACCGTATATAGACAAACATGCCTTCTTACACAGGAAAGGAGACTTTTCACTCGCGCATAAGGCGACCATATTTCCACGCAACATTATACAATAAATTATTCTCGAAATTTCTTCCGCGGCGATTAAAACTTTTATAATATTGCGCACATCGTCATTTACAAGTTGTGTCCAGCAAGTTAAAACTGGGGCACTCTGTCCTCTCAGCCTCAAGCAATTAACCTGAAGCAATTATTCTGATATCAACACTAATAACATCGCAGGAAATTACTGCTGAAATTAAGGTATAGCCCTCTCCGAGGATGTTCACAACCGCTTCGTGGCACACTTCCTGTTTTTCATTTTTAAGAAAAAACTGGGACAATATAGAGGGTATGCAGCTCTTCTACAATGAGATTTACTCCTCTAGTGAGAAGTATAAAATGTGGTTTAACACTATGTTGCTCGTCATATCAACATCGCAGTGCCACCGCCGTAATCCCGAAGCCATCTATTGTCTCATTCGTGCGACATGAAGAGGCTTCGCCACGCTTCCCTCGATCGCACAGCCCGTCGTCGGCCACTTCGGGACTTCCTATAAATATCACTTCTCTTCCTGCTGCTTCCGCTCTTCCTGCTCATCTTGTAACGCCAGTCGTTTCCTTCCTCATCTTCCTGCTGATCACCATCTTATACTATCTCTCACTCTTATTCTCTCGTACACATTCTCTCAATTCCCTCTTCTTCCCCCTCCTCACTATCCTATTATTTTCTTCACCCTTCCTATTCCCCTTCCCTTCCTCTCTACACTCTCTTTTCCTCTCTCTATCCCCTTTTCTTTTCCCTATTTTCCTCCTCCCCTTCTCACCATCATAACCCACGCCAGCCCGCCTATCACTCACCCGCCCAACCTCATCACTGTCTGCATTATCATCTTACCTCCATTTATTGCCCCTGCCCCTTCCCCCCCCTCCCCCCATAAATCCACCTCCGCATGGCAGCCTGCATGGCGGTGATGTATCCGCTGGTACCATCACACTTTTTTCCCCTTCAACTTCTTTATCTACTTTATCTTTCGTTCTTTCCCTCTCTCTCTCTCTCTCTCTCTCTCTCTCTCTCTCTCTCTCTCTCTCTCTCTCTCTCTCTCTCTCCCTCTCCACCTCTTTCTCTCCAACTCCGTCCCCCTTTCTCTCTTCTTTCTTCTCCTCATCTTTCTTCCCGTCTACTCCCCTTCCCCTCCCCCTTCTCTCGGTTATCTCCCGCCACCAGGACCAATTTCCGTCTCATTACAACATTCCTACGTTTGGTTACTGACTTGAGTCGATCACCGAGAGCCAACATATAAATTCGCTGTTCGCTCCCCCATCGTCCCACCACCCCTGCCCCCCTTCCTCGACCTCCCTCCCTTCTCCCTCCCTCTCTCTTTCTCCCTCCCCCGTCCCCTCTCCTCGATCTCCCAGCCTCTCCCTCCCTCTCTCCTTCTCCCTCCCCCGTCCTCCCCCCCTCGACCTCCCTGCCTCTCCCTCCCTCTCTCCTTCTTCCTCCTCCGTCCTCCCCCCCTCGACCTCCCTGCTTCTCCCTCCCTCTCTCCTTCTCCCTCCCCCGTCCTCCCCCCCTCGACCTTCCTGCCTCTCCCTCCCTCTCTCCTTCTCCCTCCCCCGCCCTACCTGCTTCTCCCTCCCTCTCTCTTCCTCCCCCCCGTCCCCCCGGTCACCCTCCAACGCCCCTGCCCCCCCACCTCGTTCACTCAGCCGCTCATCCCCTCTCCATCTGTATTCCTTCTTCTGCTCTCCCTCTTTCTCTCCCTCCTTCATTCTGTCCAGTTTTCTCCTCTCTTTTCCTCATCTTACCATTCACCTTATTGTTCTTTCTCTTTCTCCTCTTCTCTTGTCACACCCCATCTCTTCCTTCTCCTTGCCACTCGCTTTCCTCCTTTCTCTCATCCACCTGCCCTCTCTCGGTTTCCCTCCATCTGTTTCCCCTCTCGAGTCTCCCCTTCCTCTTTTCCTCTCTCAATCCTCCTCCCCCTTGTCCTCTTCCAGCCTCTCTCTTCCTCCTCCTCCTCCTCTTCCTCCCTCACGCTCGGCACCCTCCCCTCCCCTCCTTCTCCTCCACCTCCTCCTCCTCCCTCTTCCCCTCTCTCCCTCCTCCTCCTCCTCTCAGCTTCCCTCCTCCACCTCCTCCTCCCTCTTCCCCTCCCTATCTCCCTCCCTCCTCCTTCTTCTCTCAGCTTCCCTCCTCCTTCCTCCCTCTTCCCCTCCCTATCTCCCTCCCTCCCTCGTCCTCCTCCTCCTCTCAGCTTCCCTCCTCCCTCCTCCCTATTCCCCTCCCTATCTCCCTCCCTCCCTCCTCCTCCTCCTTCTCCTCCTCTCAGCTTCCCTCCTCCCCCTTCCCCTCCCTATCTCCCTCCCTCCTCCTCCTCCTCCTCCTCCTCCTCCTCCTCCTCCTCCTTCTCTTCCTCTCAGCTTCCCTCCTCCCTCCTCCCTCTTCCCCTCCCTCCCTCCTCCTCCTTCTCCTCCTCTCAGCTTCCCTCCTCCCTCCTCCACCTTTTCCCCCTGTACCAATTACCCGGCCACTGTCCCTCACCCTCGCTCCACCCACACATCTACCCACCTCATTATCACTCGCATTGCCCCCTCGTCCCACATATCCGTTCTTTACCCTCTCTTTATCGGGTTTAGCACTTATCCCCGACTCGTTTTTCTCCAATGTATGTTTTTTTCTCTCTAAATATAGAAAACACACACACACACACACACACACACACACACACACACACACACACACACACACACACACACACACACACGAACGCACACACGCACACACACACACACACACAAACACACACGAACGCACACACGCACGAACGCACGAACGCACACACACACACACGAAAGCACGAACGCACACACGCACGCACACACACACACATACACAAACACACACGAACGCACACACGCACGCACACACACACACACACACACACACAGTTTTCTCTCTCTTTATTTTTTTTTCGCCAATCAACCTATCTTTAATCGACCCTTCCATCTTCTCTATTAATCACCTCCGATTTTCAAACATCGCATTTCAACATTAACCTGAGGGTGCAAGACTCCCACGCCAGGAGATGGAGAAGGAGATCCTCTTTACGCACCTCTTTGTTTTCTCCTTTCTTTTCGTTTCCTTTCTCTTTTTCTGTCTATCTGTCTGTTTGCCTGTCTATCTGCCTGTCTTGCTGTCTGTCTGCTTGTTTGCTTGCCTACCTGCATGCCCGCCTCTCTGTTTGTCTATCTGTCTCTCATTCTCTCCCTCCCTGATTTTCCTTTAATTTTCCCCTTCTACCCTACCTGTCTACCTATATGTCTTTCTGCCTACCTGCTTGACTGTCTGTCGTCTATCTGTTAATGTACCTTCCTGCTTACCAGCTCTTACTGATTGACTGTTTTTCATTTAGTACGCCTCTAACAGGAAACGCGTTAGACTAACGGCCGAGCGGCCCAAGTGAACTACTCGTAAGACCTAACAGTCGTACTGTTAACAATTGATTAAATCAATGAATTAATAAATCAGTAAAGTGAACTAATAAATGAAAATAATTAAGGAAACAAGTACGGGTATATAATTTGCACCCACATCCCCCCCACACAAGCATCCACCCAACCACCCACACTCACACGCACACACAAACACAAACACAAACACACACTCACGCACGCACACACACGCACATACGTATATATATATATATATATATATATATATATATATATATATATATATATATATATATATATATATATATATTATATATATATATATATATATATCACTGCTCCTTGTATATAGTACTGTTTGTAAACAAACCCTACCGCACTGCCTCGGAACGTCGTCAAGTCTGTTAATCTAACACCGTTTTTTGGTATTGGCCGTTAGTCTAAAATGTTAGCTGTTAAGTGTCAAGTGAACGTAAGGCTGCTTATCTGCCTGTCTGTTTACCTGCCTGTCTGTCGGCGCCGCAAATCCCTCCTCGTGGTTCACATCGCACCCTTATTCTTCTTCCTTGGTAATGACAAACCTGAGACTTCCCCTCTTGTTTTCGACTTTCGCTTTTCATTTACGCCTTTCCTTTCTCTCCCCTTCATTCCTTCTTTTCTCCCTTTCCCACCCCTCCCCCCCTGCTTTCCCCTCCCTACCATGGTCCTATCTTCATCAGCTCGACCATCTGCGTCACTTTGTATAATGGTGAATTCGCGTGCGGGTACAGTGAGGGCGCCTGTCTCCCCGCCCTTCTTCCCCCTCCCCTCTGACTGCCTCACCTGGCACTGTCCCCCCCCCCCCCGGTCACTGCGGTCGCCCAGCCACTTACTGTGATTTTGTGCCCTAGACTTCGTATCCCCTCTAAGCATAGTGTCCATCTTAAGGACTCCCCTCCGTCTCCCCTCTGTCTCCCCTCGCCTCTAAGCTCTCGCCCCGCTCTCTGCTCTCTCTGTGTCACGCTACAAAAGTGTTCTCGGTGCTGTTGTACTTCGACTGGGTCTTGCATTTTAGGGTCACTACATACTGAGTGCATATCTTGGGATGGTAATTTAATGTACTCTACTAATTTAATGTACTGTACTCCGTCTTCGCTCTCCTCACCGTGTGTGTTTATCTGCCATTAGGCATAATGACAGGCGGTTAAGAATGCACAACAATCCAAAATGCAATGAAAGAATATGAAAGGGAGAGAGAAAAGAGAGAGAGAGAAAAAAACACGAATACAAAGGCCGGACAAAAATCAATCTTTTTTAACGCAAAAAGCAAACTATACTTAAATCATCTCTCAAATCATGATGACCTCCATCAAAGGCTCAGGTCACGCGGCAGTCGTCCAGTCTGGCAGTGAAAAACGCCGCGAGTGTGGTAATGAGTGTATTAACCGGGGCGGGGAGGGGGGGGGGGTAGTTCTGGGTGCGGCGGCAGATACCACAGTGAGTGCAGACCGAAGTTTTATCGGTGGCAGAAGTGGTACTGGTAGCAGGGGCAGAGTACAGAGCGGCAGGGGAAGTAGAAACACTGGTACCGAAAGCAAAGCTGATGGCAAAAGTGGTGCTCGTAGAGATGAGGGCATGAGGGAAACCGGCAGCAAAGGTGGTGGAAAGGCTGGTATCGGTGGCACAGGTAGAGGGGAGTGTGGTAGCAAGCGGCTGGCGTGGCCCAAGGCACTAACTCAGGCAGCCACCTAACAATCACTCATTACTTGTCGAGACAGACGGAACGCACGACACACACTGGAATCTGAGATCACTATAAAAAAAGGGTTAACAAACAGTGCGGGTCGTAATTACTGCATTAGCGCAACTTTTCGGGTCGTATTTTCCGAGCTCGGTATGGGAAAGGCATGCGTACTGTGCCTTGTGTGACCCGAATCTACTGGCCGTCCGTCTATTGCAACATGTTTTTTTTTTTTTTTTTTTTTTTTTTTTTGCCTGTGAAGCCATCATTACTATAAATAAGAAAATGAAGCAATCAGACAAACAAAAACCTTTACTTCCAGTCGAGTATGTATTGACAGTCACTTCATCTAAAAGTCAAACAGGGATTAAAATTTCTTGCAATACACGTGTAGTATCGTCAATATTAAAATCGCTGTTACATGTCTAGCGCCGCTTCGTCATTTAATCCACCCTGTATTGACTGCGTCTGTATTCCAATGTATCTAGACTCATACTATACTTACTATTAATATTATGTGGATATTCTGCTAATGACTGATGGTCTGAATGCTCCGTTAATCCCGAAACAAACAAAGCTTCATTATGTATTAATTGCTTCTGCAAACACACGCCATGACAGACCGGTAATTACAACATAATAAATGTACCTGTCAACTGGCGATGTTCCAGCATCTTGGTTGTCATCATGTGTATTTCTTATCAAACTATTCATTTATCTACATATTCTATCTATTTATTTAGCTATATATATCTAGCAATTATGTGAAAGGTCCTCCTTTTGCCCTCTTCAGTTTTAATTCAGTATTTCTTCCACAACAAACATCTTCTGACATAATCCTTATAACAGGCTTAAACAAGGCACTCTAGCCTGTAACATTAATAGGCGATGGGCCAAACTAACTTTCGACCAGACCTACGGCAGAGGAATAAGGCCGTAATGAAACCTCTTGGCAAATTAGCCAAGATCAGCCAAGGATTCTGATGACCTTAACACTAACTGCGTTACGCCTCGACAGAGAGATGGAGATCCCAATTTTCCACAGTAATTTACCTCCGGTGTTAGAACCTCCCCTGCCTGACTCTGATAACGGATAATGAGTTTTACGGCGAAAACAAAAAGATTAAATGTTAATAAAAGTAATGGACTTTGCTCCCTTCCTCCGCGCCTCAACACGCATGCAAAATATCGAGAGAGAAAAAAAGAGTGAATTAACATCACAAATCAGCTCGAAAACCTAATACTTTAAGACATTTAAATAAAGAGAACGCAGGAAATACGGCACGGCGACCATTGCACTCCAGCCAAGGAATCTTTGGGACGTAATCAAACGTCTCGCTACAGCACAGCCAACGTCTGTAGTTCAACTAATCTCACTCGCAATTAATCCTTAGAAAAAGCCTTTCCGGTTGCAAGTAATGAAGCTTGCACGGTGACGGATGACCATCCCGCCCCCCTCCCGATGACATGAAACTGCATCAAACACATTCTAATTTTGCACATTGTACATCATGTCATTTGCAGCTCAGTCTTGCCTCCTCACTAATCTAAATACCATTAATTTCCTGGCACCTGAACCTGGCCAATTACCAACAAGGGGAAGGACAGACATAACCACTCCACGCCTGCCGGATGGAGTTGTAAATGCCTAATTTATAGATCCGAATCCTTTGAGTGATATACGACCACGTGAGAAAAATGCCATTTATGATGTTATCTGTGAGTGGATGGCGGAGGCGACGACAATGGCTTCTAAAGACATCGGTGATATAATCGAAGCGTAAACGGCAATTGCAGAAGCAGTAAAACAATAATGAAGATAGCACCACTGGCACAGTAGTAGTAGTAATCGTAAAGCACATAAATGATCTTCGAGCAAAATATTAATATATAAAAAATCCTGTTGATAAAAGTAATAATGACTGTAATAACCATGACAGCAGTAAAAACAAGGCTAACTACAGCTATAATATTTATGGAACAGAATGGTGGTAATAACAACCTCGACAGTGGCAGTAATGATCTGTCTTGGTTCGACAGCTATTACTAATAGCAACAGTACAACTTCCGATCCTTATGATAAACTGCAAGAGTAGTAACAATACAGACAATCAGTGATGATGATACTCCAAGTCAGAACATCAGAATTACTAAAGATAACAGGCAACTGCAGCAGCGGCAATACCCAACAATTAAAGCGGATTTATGTATTCGGTGCCATCAAAACAACACTGAAAATATTTTTGCAGTGAGGATTGCGAACTCATATTTCAGATGTTACGTCTTCGCTTCCCTGTTTTATTTATTATGAAGCATTGCTGTAAACACTGACACTTTCACAGTTTCCCATGTCACTGATGCAGGTATATGCACCAAGTGTTAACTATCTCAACTGTTAATATTTGTAGCCTGACCATCTTAATGTTTACTGCCCTAATAAATCAACTCTTACTACCCCAGTTCTGTAATAATGACCGTCCTTACTTCTGGCTCCCAAATATTTATCGTTGCACAGGTTTATGAGCCTTGCCTTCTCATACAGTTTTATCTGTCTGTTTTTGATGTCAACGTATTCTGTGCTTGGGAATTTCGTGCCACTAAACAAGCAGAGTTTCCAATATGTATGAGCACACGTTTTGATAATTTATAACTGTACGTTATAAGAGGAGGACGAAGAACACAAGGAAATTCATTGGCTGGACTACGTGGTACTGTACATGATCACAGCACGACTATTAATCTACGGTGATATGTTGCCAGCTTTCATTACAGACCTTACCGTGGAAGATACAAATGCGTTTCACAAAAGCCAAATCATGAACGTACAATATATCTGGAATATGACTAGAAAGCTTTACAATTCTTGAATGCTATACTACTGTACCTAAGGTGTAGCAACAATACTGGTCCGCAAATTAAACTTAAAAAATCGTTAATTCAATTGTTCAATTTACCATTGTCTAATGGCCAATGTTTGCAATTAAACTGATAACACTAGATTAAACCTGCCTGCAAGGGTAATTAACCATGTATAAGACTACTTCATAATTTTGGTACTGACTGCGTCCAGGCAGGGACTCTGAAAAATAAATGACGCAGAGTTGGAACTGCGCAAACGAGACAGAAATGTATGAGTAAGTAAATACGTATGCAAGCGCGCGTGTGTCTGTGAGGAAGGGGACATGCGCGCGCAGTTCTCTTTCTCTTTCTGTGTGTGTGTGTGTGTGTGTGTGTGTGTGTGTGTGTGTGTGTGTGTGTGTGTGTGTGTGTGTGTGTGTGTGTGTGTGTGTGTGTGTTAATGAATACAGAGAAAAAGAAAACAGACACACACACACACACGCGCGCGCGCACACAGAGAGAAAGAGAAAGAGAGAGGGAGAGAGAGAGAGAGAGAGAGAGAGAGAGAGGGAGGGAGGGAGGGAGGGAGGGAGGGAGAGAGAGAGAGAGAGAGAGAGAGAGAGAGAGAGAGAGAGAGAGAGAGAGAGAGAGAGAGAGAGAGAGAGGGGGGGAGAGAGAGAGAGAGAGAGAGAGAGAGAGAGAGAGAGAGAGAGAGAGAGAGAGAGAGAGAGAGAGAGAGAGAGAGAGAGAGAGAGAGAGAGAAAGGGGGGGGGGCAGAGAAAGAAGAGAGGCTGTGATGGCATAAACCATTGCAATATTTCGGCTAATGAGGACAGCTCACTCAAATTCATTTATCTAGCTGTACCGTAAATACCGATCAGATGCGAGAATACCATATACGAATTTCAAATCAGCGATCTATGAAAGCTGTGCAACCTTGGGAATATGAATATTTGATGAACAAACATTGAACTCTCACTGTATTTTGCATCAGTGTTTACACCAGCTAAAATTCGCTATCATATATACCTCACTAGGCGTAGAAAAGTCATTACACTTTTATTGTAGAAATAGACGTAGGTACTCCAATATAGGTATGACCAAATATATACAGTCATAGAGGCACACAAACATTAGACTACACACACACACACACACACACACACACACACACACATACATACATACACACACACACACATACATACACACACACACACACACACACACACACACAGAGTCGTATGTAGACATACATACTATGTAATTATACACATAAAAAGAGGGGTGATAAAAAAAGAAAAATATTACAACAGTATCAATATACTAAGTTAGAACATTTAAAACACATATGTCGTCAAACGTTCCCAGATATCCACTTTAAATATTCTTTCACCTAAAAAAAAAAGAAATATATCACAGTACTTACTTTACCGTATATAAAAGGGCGACCTTCTCGACGGACGCAACAGTTCTTTACTCACCTGAAAAAAAATAAAAATGATATTAAAAAAAGCTCAGAGCACGAAGCACAGATGTCAGACAGGCGCAGGGAATCCATATAAATAACATATCGCCACTTCACAAAGAAAGAGAAAGGGAGAGAGAAAAAAATGAGAGATAGATAGATAGATAGATAGACAGAAAGAGATAGATAGATAGATAGATAGATAGAGAGAGAGAGAGAGAGAAGGAGACAGAGAGAAGCTGCGACAGACAGACAGCGAAAAAGGAAAAAAGAAAGAAAAGAGGCACAGAAGAGTTGCCAAACCCGGCGATCGAGCGTAAAATTCCAGATCTAAAAAACAAAGAAAAGAGCTGCTTGATGCCTCCGTCTTGACTGCGAGGATGAATAGCCGCTCCATCTTGTTCAAGATCGACGTGGCTTCAAGGAAGAGGCTGTCAATGTCAGAGTCTGACAGGGTACTTGAAGGAGGAGGAGAGGTAGAGATAGTTTAATTTAAGCAACACCATCCGCTGTCGGGAATCAAAAGCCTGGAAGGTTATGACACTGCGATTCTGCGATTAGGCGATTCTGCTGATGACGTCAAAGACAACTGGAGCCGATGTGAAATGCCTTCGCGAGGCTGCAACACCTACGATTTCCGAGAACGTCCACAATGTTCGCGTTTTAATTAGCTCTCAAAGCATTTATACTGAAGACTTCCAGCTG